CGTAGCAGGAGGCCTCACTTCAACCCAAACTCTACATCGCCGACGACTATTCCGCAGGTAAATATTTCGTCCTCCTCCCCACCCACCCACCAGTGTATTCTCGGGCTAGACTATTTACTGTAAAAAAAAAAATGTAGCTCTGGTGGTGTAACTAGGAAGTTCCTCTGCAAAATTCCCGTCAACCATTGCTTTTCACCAAGTCGTCAGCACCCCTCGATTTGAAGTGAAGACCAAAAAAAAAATGGTCGTACTGGTCCAACTGACGCGGACGCCTTTCGTGGTCACAAGCCAACTGCCCTCCACAGGGGGGAGGTACACCTTCCTAAAAACTAAAGAAAAGTAATAGACACCAGAAAATTGCTCCAAAGGCGCGATTTGTTATCCAACCGAAAAAACGATCAACAGTAAGGAAAACTGCTGTGATCGGGCTAAAAGAGATGTGAAGTTTTTTTTCGTATGCATATGCCTTTGTCCAACCGCAGAACTACCAGTGTAGAGGACGTTTTTTGTGTGTTGCGCTTGAGCCGAAGCAGCAGTTTCGAAGCGGCGGCGTTTGACGGTCTCTTGTTATTCTTCCAAAACGTGTGCGTCGATACCATACATGTGTACCTGCTGTTGCTGCTGGAAGGTTAACTATCCTGCTATGTGGAAGTTAGAAAGTCGTTTTTTGAGCGCCTGGCGTCTGGCTTTGGCCTGCAGACGGCGCTCAGTTGAGTTCGACGTTGTTTTCCACGGACAATGACCTTTCCGATCGAGGCATGTGCCTTCCAGGTGTGTCCGTACTGGTCCTACTGGCGCGGACGCCTTCCGTGGCCACAAGCTAACTATTTATTCACCACACCCCGGAAAAAACACGGTTCCAAGGCCAGAGAGGAAATGTTCACACTAGTTTAATGGCATTATTGTGATAGGAACTGTGCAGATGACTGTACTTTCATGTATGATGGGGAGCTTGAGTTTATGAATCCCCGTTTCGAGATGAGCAGCACGAGGGGTTGACCAGACCCATTCGCGCGAGTACGCTATGCTCGCGAGGCCTCGAGATGAAGATTTGTAGGTCGAGCGACGGCGCAAATCCCTTTCCCGGTGCGCCTTGCCATACGGTTTCCTTTTTCGATTTTGTTGTCGTGGGAAGAAGACTGTTGGTTGTACAGAAATAGTGCCTCTACGGTGAGACTTTTTTTTTCAAGCCCCCAAGATTGGCGACGAAATCGTCGGGGAGAACCTAGAGAAATAAGTGGGCACAATCCGGCAACCGAGTAGGGTGAGGACAGCCCGTTGAAAGGGAGTTCCGCTCTTGTTCGTTGGCGTAGGTTCTTCCGGGCCGCGACTGGCTGCTGTTGTAACGAGACGCATTGGGTAAACTTGTGTGTGGGCGCGTCGAAAAGTTGATGGTTTTGGTAGTGGGAAACGGGTCGACCTTGTTGGCGCCAGGCAAGGCGCCAGCGCCCTACCTAGTAGCGAGCGCTCTAGACTTAGATGGGCTCCTTCACGAGCTTCGGAGACGAAGCATCAGAAGCGAAAATCAAACGACACTTCGTGTATCCGGGGGTACATGGTGCGAGCAGGCGCATTTTCCTTTTTGACCTGAGACCCTCCCTACCCTATTACCCTATGGCGCGCCCTGGTTCCAGCTGATTCGTGTATGAAGATAAGCACCCGTCGCGCGGCACGACGGCCGCGGCCAGGCTCCTCCGGACCAATGGCGCGACGCCGTCACCGAGCCGGGCCGGTTCGATTCGTGGCTTCTAGAGCGTGGTGCGTGGGAGCTCTTGTTCTTCTTCTCCGACGCAGCGCCTGGGAGAGTGGTGTCGTCGCGCAACAAGGTAGCGACGACGGAAACGGAAACGACGACGGTGGCACCAGCGCGCCTGCCGCGCTCTACCCCGACTGCGAGGCTGACACGGCCTTGGTCGGCGATTCCATATGCGACCTCGACTTCAACGTCGCAGAGTGTGGTTTCGACGGCGGAGACTGCTGTGAGTTCCCCCCGAGACCTCAACGACGGCCCCACATGGAGCGATTTTTACCTGTACTTTTTTTTTGGTCTGCCATCATTGGACTCTGCCGTCTGCCCCTCCGGCCCCTATCCTCCACTTCTACCAGCTAGACGACCCAACCGGGGTCATATAGGAGGGTGGGGTTGGACCCCCTCCTGCGGTTCCTGCCTGAGATATTGTTATCGCGAGAAGGGTACAGCAATCCCTCCCCCCGCGACTTCTGAAGTCGATCAAGTTTACTAACAACCAGCTTTGCTGTGTACCGTGTTGGCGTGCGTATGCTCCTCCTGTCCTGGATGGGGGCTGCATTCACCCTCGCTCATGGTCGTCAGTTCAGAACCAGCGGTGTTTTGTGTACCGCAGTCGATTTCTGCTCGCGTGCGCTACTCGCCTACCGTGTGCGTCCGTGTGCTTGTGTTTGGAGGGGGGCTCCTGTTACCCTCGACCTTTGGGGTCCCGGTGGAGAAGCAACCGCCGTCTTGCGGAACAGCGGTCGTTTTTATTTGCTCACTCATGGCCACAAAACGGGCGACCTGCCGCTCTACCTTACCTCAATTCGCTCACACACACGCGCGCGCGGACTTGCTGCTGCACCCAGGCGAGTGTACCTGCGTCGACACGGGGGATCAGGTCTGCGGCGAGGGGGGAGGCGGGTACTTCTGCGTAGACCCGGACGCCCCGCAAGACTGTGCGTCTGCGCCGAGCCCGACGCCGAACACGCCGTCGGCGCCGACGTCTTCTGACGCGATAGACGTAACGGCTGGACCGACGTCGCTCGATGCGTCTGATGACCCTTACCCGGGCTGTGGCGGTTACATCCCACATATTGGTGAGCGTGCGCCTTGGAGGGGGGGAGGTTACTCATGTTGTACATGCCTTCTAAATAGCTGTTTTCGGTCCATGGGGGGGCGGTGTTTTTATTGATGCAGGAGATGAGCAAAGGTTGTCGGTGGTGGTGTTGGCGCTCGTACAGTACCCGGGTTGTGTCGGGTGCACCCGATGTATCGGTAAGCATTCGCCTTGGAGGGGGAGGGGGGCTCATGTTGTACATTCCTTCTAGCTGTCAGGCCATTGTTGGAAAGCGGGGGGGGGGGATCTTGTTGTACGCGCCTTCTAGCTGACATTGAACGGGGGCCTCTCTTGCTTTGCCTATTGAAGTATTTTATTAGGAGATAAGCAAAGGTGTGTTCCGTGTTGGTGTTGGCGATACTTTTGTGTCCACCTTGTTGGTGATGAAAGGTTCCGGTTCTATGTACCCTCTTAAGACCGAAGGACCGCAATTTTTGTTTGGCGGGACTAGCATGTCGGCTGCCTGCTCGTTGTGTGAAAGCCTCCGCCGCTGCTGTTCGAGCTGAACTGTAGTAACATATCCCGATCGTTTAGCCTTCAGCCCACGGCATTTTAAGTATTTCTCTCTTAATCTCTCTACCTCCCTCTCTCTCTCATCACACTCGCTTCGCTCTTCTTGTCGTTCCTTCCCAACGCAGGCGACGGGTACTGCGATGAAGACAACAACACCGCTGCTTGCGGCTTTGACGGAGGTGAGCAGCCACGGACCGAACGCACTGAGGGGGGGGCGGGGGCGGTGATGCTCGCCCCACTGGTGGTACCAACGCGTTCACAGCGTCGGTTGTTCGACAATCTCCAGACTCGTCGCGTGTGACTTTGCTGATTTTCCTACGTGTACACTCGAGGCGATGCGGCTTGTGCCTACCAGCCATCCGACCCGGAAAGTCATTCTCAAGTAGCAACAACAGCAACGACTCTCACGATTTCAACGCCCCCCCCCCCCCCCCCCCCCCCCCCCCCCCCCCCCCCCCCCCCCCCCCCCCCCCCCCCCCCC